TTTTTCGTGTTTATTTTTTAAATCTATTTTTGTATTATTTAATGTGTGCTTTTGGGGTTTTTTTTAGTTTATTTAATTATCTCTTATTTTCCCTCCTAATTGTTTGCTTAGAATAGCTATTCCAGTCGTCTTTCCGAAATACACGTCAATCACTTTTCCGTCTTTTTTTTTTCTTGTGCTGGCATCGATTTTCCGTCCCTACTTCGTTTTCCTGTTGAAATTACAGATATGCTTCGCCTCTCGTTTGCTTTTCTTTTTCATTGTCTGTTTTAGACAAAAAAAATAAAAAAAAATATATCGTCTGCTTAAGACACCCGTCAGCCATTTTGTTCATTCCATCATCTTTTATAACATTTTCAGTTTCTTTCTGGATTAAAGGTATTTAGACTTTCCTTTCTTTGTCTTTTTATTTTTGGTAGAAATTATGAATTTGGTCTTTTTACCACATTTTTTTTCTTTCTCTCCATTGCTTTGTCTTTTTTTTTTATTTTCTGTTTTGTCTCTTGTTTTTAAATTTGCTTTTTTGTTTATCTTTTTAATTTCTTGTTTGACTTTGCGGATAGGATCGTCTGCATAAAACATGTATCAGCCATTTTGAAATTTCCCCAGTTAATCTGCGCCACCTCTTTCAGGGCACGTTCTTATTTCAAATTCATTACTGTTACAGAACAGCTACCTAATTGACTGATCCCCTGAGAGTCGCTCTGCTAAGATAAGCAAGGCTGTCAGGATGTATTCTCGAAAGCCCTTAGATTATAATGTCAGCAGATAAGGTATTTCCGTGTCTTCGTACGGATTAAAATGGCGTTGGGAGTACAGATTCTGAGTGCTCAAGGCCTCTAAACCTTTAAGCACAATTGAACGAGTGAAAAGAAAAACGTAACAAAACCGATGTTGCACGTTCCTTCATGTTACGTGGATAGCGTAGATTTTATAACACGTCAAATGATTGCCGGAAAAAATGATTGCTAAGGCAGAGGAGAACATTATGTGTTCATGCAAAATAACATTTTCCTCGCCAAAAACTATTCTTAAAAAAGATGAAGTTCCTCTCGAAGCTTTTACTAGGTTTTTTAATGGACGAATGGATATATATATATATATATATATATATATATATATATATATATATATATATTTAATGAAAAACAGACCACTTTAAGGTACCATTACAATAATCTATTTCAACAAAATCCTTTTAAAGGACTCCGGATCATCAGGTAACACTTCCAACAACGAAATGAAAAGGAAAAAAATGGGATTAGAAATTGATGGGTAGTGTAATTTTGTAATTTAACAGGGGGGTGAGAGTTGTAGTTAAAGAGACAAGGTAGAGTATAGGGAGGGGTTAATTTCATATCTCTTAAGCATACTTTATATTGGGGTAGGAGGAGGACCGAACCGTGACCTATTTAGATGGTTAACTTAACGGAAATGATATGTAGGAATGGGAGGAGTGGGGAGAAAAGAAAAGGAAAATGGAAAAGAGAGAGGAGACAGACGACAGTAATACAGATATATCTAAATGAGTGTTACGGCAAAGAGAGAGGGGGGAGAGGAAGAATCGAAAGAGGCTGTAATTTTGTTTTAACAAAAATTATGTAAAAGATAGATTTCAATGCTTGATAGAAACCATATATATATATATATATATATATATATATATAAATATATATGACAAATAGAAGACGTTTCATTGAAAATAGTTTTGACTGAAAATAGATTTGCTTAGGTGTTTCGACATTCTAGGCTTCATCAGATCCAAAAACCAGAAAAAAAGAAAAACGTGTATGTGTATTTGTGTGTATGCTTAAATAATGAACCATAAAACTTTTTCCCTGATCTAGTTTCAATGATACGTTTACGATTTGTCCATTTTCTTAAATACTTTGTCGGGATTCGAAATCCTATCTCTCTCTCTCTCTCTCTCTCTCTCTCTCTCTCTCACACACACACACACACACACACACACATATATATATATATATATATAATATCCCTTGAAGATTGTTTTCAGGCATGAAACAGACTGCTGTCGCTTGGTGTTGACCTCAGTGTCCTCTTTTATATTTTCATTATTTATATATTGAGCACTTTTACCCATTAACAGAGCATACCTTCCTTAAACTATATTTTGTAACACACACACACACACACACACACACACACACACACACATACATATATATATATATATATATATATATATATATATATAGTTAAACGTAGAGACCAGACAAACCTACCAAGGTTTCACCTGAGCGGATCGTCAGGAAGGCCGGCCTTGAAACCTTGGTAGGTTTGTCAACTACGTTTAACTAGGTCTTTTTACTTTTTTTTGTTTTGATACCCGTTTTTTTTTTTTTGGGCTTTGAACTTGCATGCTGGACGATTATTTTCGGCTAACGTACATGTTCTTGTTTCTTTCTTTTTTTAATACATTATTTCCCTTTGGTATTGGCTTGATTATTTGCAAAACAAGACACCGAAGGTTTTCCAAACGACTGTAGCTTCTTATACCTATACGATTACTACTAATATATATATATATCTATCTATATCTATATCTATATCTATATATATATATATATATATATATATATATATTGTGAGTGTGTTTAATTTGGCAACATGTTTTCACTGAGACAAGTTTTATTGAATAATTTAGACAAATGATGTAGGAAATGCACTGTAACAGTGAAAATCACTTTTATTTCCCATCATCATAAAAATGCAACTGGTAAGGCAAAAACTATGATTGTAATACACGGAAAAATATCCGTGAATATGAACGGATTATGCTAAAAATAGTCATACATATTTTCTGATTTTTGTAATTTATGTAATATATATATATATATATATATATATATATATATATATATATATAACGAATCTGTACATTTTATTTCAAAAGTTATCTTTAGTGAATCCATGTATTTGAATAGGATGTCGGATCAGACGATGGTTCCGCTTGCAAATTGGGAAGCATTAAACAATAAAATCTAATAATTCTTTAGAAATGCTTTGTTTACGTTTCTGATACGAAACTGAGCAGATATGCGTTCAGGGAAATGTGAATGAATTAGGTTTACCTTAAATGCAAAGGAGAAACTTGCTTTATTGTGAGGTTCTTTGTAACCGAGCAGTACAAGGAGGCAGACCGGACTATATATATATATATATATATATATATATATATATATATATATATATATAAAAGAAATAGGGTATTGGATGAACTTGTAAGTATTTTCAATGTATTTCTCTTCTTCGTGTAAATATTGAGGGCTGCATATTCTGATTGCACTTAAGTAGAGTCCGATGATTATACTGGATATTATTTTGTTGTAATGATGAGAATAGAAATTTATGAGATCATTTTTATTAGTTGACTTTTAGTGGATGCTAAGTGTTAAGTTTCTGTTAATGTGCTGTAGCATATTTAGGAAAGGTAAAGTATTATTTTTCCCCATTTCATGTATCAATTCTTTTGTATTTTCGACTTTGTTTAAATAAAATCTGTCGTCTCATCAATAATCAATGTTTCACATTTAATAATAATTTTTATAAACTAAAATATTGATTACCAATGGGATCGCCCTTTAGTTGAATAATAGCATGCATTTTCTTAGAATTTTTCGAATCTGGTCTTTTTTTCAAAATATTTTGCCCAGGTAATCAACTTCCGATATATTGATGATATTCTATTAATATGTACCCGTGATACTGATTCAGCCCATCTCGTTTTTAAACTAAGCAAAGTCGATCATACAATAGAATTTACATATAAAATAGATAAAAAAAACAATATTTTACCTTTTCTTGATAGTATGCTACGCGGCATTTGCAGTAGCTTAAAACATTGATTCTCTTCATTATCTGTGAATATATGAATTTATATGACTTTGCCGAAAGGTAATGGCGTAGTTTCCAGTTCCCTCCTCCAAAGTTTTTCTTCTCTTCGATGTCAATCAAGTCTAGAGTGTACAGTCTACCCTTCTATTTAATTAATATACCTTTATTAGATGTCAATTCTCTTCAGAATGTAGTTCAGTTCTTCACAGATTTCTTTTCTGTATTATATGGGAAATGGAGTTGCTTCTTGTTGCTTCTCCACTATTTGAATTCTTTCTCTTAGACTAAATGCTACGCAGTGTTATTTAACCCATAGCTGAGGGGATTAAATAGATGAAACAAACTACAGATGTTGTTTACTAAAAAAAATAAAAATGATTTTTTCTAAATTTTTTAAATTTTTACTTTTTTATTTTATAAACCTTTGGATTAGAACAGGAAGAATTTGGAGTACTGATCTTCAGATTTACTTGTAGACAAGTAGATTTTCTATTGGATAAATTAGCTTAACACAAAAAAAACCTACTCCCAATTTATCATTGTGCCAGACTACAACAATAACATTATCACGAAAGCTGTCTCAACATTAAGAAATTAACATCTCCCGTTGAAAATTTGAAGACTATACACACGACTTGGGCTTGCTTTGGTAATTAGTTGGAGATTTCTCTCCGGCCGTGCTGGTCGAACTGTTTGCCTTCAGGCAGAGAGGAACCCAGACGAGTCTATGCTGAAAGGCAGAGTCTCGTCTGTGATGGTAGACATCTACTCGACCATGTGTATACGGGATCTACGTGAAATTTTTGCCCGAGCAAACGGGATCGCTTTCGACCTCGCATTAAAACGGCCTTGTGCCACATCCTGCCACGTGGGGTTGGGTGGGGGTAAATATCCTATACACACGACTTGCAAATGGTTTTCCAAATTAAAAATAATCTAAAGGTTCAGTTCCTGTCAGAAGGTTCACTTTCTTTAGTAAGACTTTCAAACTCTAGGTCGTTAAAAAGAGTGGAAGTATTAGTAGCATTTGAAATTTGTATAATATTTAGAAGTTAAGCAACATCTAGCCTGGTCATTACTTTGATGGGTCACCGCATGGAAATATCAGATTTTATAAGTTTAGCTGTCTGGGTAGTATAGTTTACGGACATATCACGTTGAAGCTCCGGTTCTCGGGAGATCACTGAAGTTAAGAACGTCAAGCCTGGTCAGTACCTAGATGGGTAACCGCTTGGGAATGTCAGGTGCTGTAAGTTTGGATGTGTGGGTGGTGTAATGGAAAACGTCACGAAATTAAAAATCCGAGAGCCGAATTTCAATTCCAGGTGGGTTCAATGCATTCACTTATGCACAAATTCCTTAAGAAAGGTTTGAATTCACCTCCTTCCCCCCAGGTATGGATTAATTAGTAGGACTCAGTAAATAATTATTATTTACCCACAATTCTTATAATCTAAAAAAAATTTCTGGCTTTAAATACCCAGCAAAGGGTTGATAAAGCGTAAGAAACAAATCATCAATCAATCTAACATTTCGATAGAAACAAGAACGGGCAGAAAAGATTTGAAAGGATCAAGGAATGAATGAGAAGATACAAGCAAATCGATTATCTTAGCTGTCAATATCTGTGGAATTTCCATAAGTCTAACTTGTTGTTTATTAATCTTTTTATAACATAGATCCTCCCTGCACACAGCATATATATATATATATATATATATATATATAAATATATATATATATAAAAGTGGACATTGAAGTCAACACTTAGAGGCGACAGGCTGTTTCATGTTAGACACAATCGTCAGTCCTGACGATTGCGTCCAGCATGAAACCTCACCTCACCTGCTCTATCTCTGATATTGAGCAATTTATTCCATAAATATAGCATACCTTAAGACTATATTTCTTCACGTATGTCTCTCTCTATATATATATATATATATATATATATATATATATATATATATATATATTGATTTCAGAACTATATTACCATTAGAAATTTCCGGTTTCAGAAAACATGACACAAAGCTTCCATTGAAAAAAAATTTGCTAACGTCACGATTTTCTAGGCATAACTGCAAGCAGTCGCCTTGACCTTTCAACATTTTCGGCGGCATACCTATGTGACTCATGCTGGCGGCCTGAGGGTTAATGACATCACTACTTTTCTCCGCCCAGGTTCTTCTCATTAGGTCTGTTGCCATGAGGGCTCTGCGAGACTTATTTAAGGAGTTAAAAAAAATACACGAGCGGGAGTCGAATATTACTGCCTTCACGTATTATTATCACTTCCAGCTAAATTCATCGCCATGCGTGAAGATGAATGAAAAACTCCGGATTCATCTCGACTTATTATTAGTGTTTCCAGAGACAACAAATGTACAGCCACATCCAGCTACTTAAACCGTAATCCAAAATACAACAGGAAGGCCCCTTTCGAAATGATGTATTGCTTCTAATACTATCTCATTTTCTATTTTGGGAACATTTCGGGTATTTATTGTTTATATGTAAAATTAAAAATTTCAAATACTAATGCATTTGTCTACATGTGCTCGGAAAGTCAACCGTTTATTTATACAAATACGTGGTGTAATAAAACTTATTCAACCACCATCCTCAAGGAGACATGGCACAGTGGATAGAAGCGTTAGTTAGATCCAGTGACAGGACCCAAAGAGTGTGAGTTCAATACCCGGTTAAGGCAGTGGAAAACTTTCAGAGGGAAAATTAGCAGGAGATAACTGACATCCATTAAAACATGGCACGTGGAACTAGAACAGTCTACCCCAGAACGAAATAAAGGGTTCAGTTCGACATTCCAACCACCTGAAAAAGGCCGGAGCGCACAACGGCCGAAACGTTGTAATAAATATGGCGACAAAGATGAGGACAATGGTCCGAATAATGTAAATAATGTACATAATACCTCATCTCAGAAATATGGAAAGTTTATATATACAATCACGGGGTGTAATAAAACTTATTCAACCACGTGCTATAATATAACCTTAACCGTTTATTTATACAACCATGTGGCGTGATAAAAACTTTTTAACCACGTGCTATAATATATAAACTTAACCGTTTATTTATACAGCGACGTGGTAATATTATTCTTTGGTAATGTGTTTCTTCCCCTTGAGGCAGTGATTCACAAACATTTTCTTTTTTACTCTGGGCAGCATTTTCGGTAGGAAAATTTGCTCGATTCTCACCAAATTTGATGCGATACAAAGTGCATTAAAAAAAACCAAGAAACAAAAAACACAGAGAGAGAGAGAGAGAGAGAGAGAGAGAGAGAGAGAGAGAGAGAGAGAGAGAGAGGTTTAAAGGGAGATAACCGCGGATTTGAAGTCAGAGCATTATCATTGATAACTCTCTCCTCCAGTTTGCAGAGCCTAGTCACCATATTCTTAAAACTTGATATAATGCAAAAATATCAAAATGATAAAATCGGTCAATAATTATTTATAACTATTTATACTGGAACTCATGCATTTAATTACAAGCAATCCATAATAATATTTTAAATTTTGAAATCATATTTATTTTCGGCACATAACTTTTCGAAAATGTTTTTAAATCATTGATTTCTTTAAATTATTCCACCTCACCTGCTATCCTCTTCCGCTGTACGTAAGAGGCGCCCCGCACAGTTTGGTAACCACTTCCTTAAGATTAATTTAATTTATTTTGTATTATTTTTAATGGAAAGGAAAGGTTTTGATTGTTTTTATAACAGGCATGCATGTCATCTCCTTTTCCTTATTTCATCAAACTTGTTATTAGCCATATTCTCTGCAAACAATGTACTAACAACATTAGATATGTTCAGGATAACCCATAACAGGCTTTTTTAAAAACTATAATTCTCCATCCGTGTTTTCTGTGACGTGTTTGCCATTAGTGTTTTTACTACTTTTTTTCTCCCCAATATCACATCCCAGAGAGTTAAAAACAATAATGATAGTTGTTAGCAAGATGGGGTGGCAGTTGACTGAAAGGGTATTTGTGTGCGTATATGTGTGCGCGTGTGTTTGTTTGGGATGAGATAGATAGATAGATAGATAGATAGATAGATAGATACAGACAGTGGGTTGGGGGAGGCGGAGACTCAGAAAACTGTTGTGTTTCGTGGGGATAAGTTCTTCAGCCATGGAAGAATCGAGTTACCAGAGGAAAGACAAGGAGGTGGGACCACGCTGACTTATTCCGAAATAACAATTAATCGTTATTTTATGACTCGTCAGCTGTTTTATGAGTGATCTGGGTCTCGTATCCGGCAATGTGTTATTTGACGAAAAGGTCAAGACCTTCCAATGGACCCCCGAAAACAAAGCAAGATGGGAAAAGTACCTGGAACAGCCTGAAAAATAAAAGAGGTCAACGAGTATTATAAACTGATTGGGCCCTTGAGATGACGAGCATACGAGGATGGCTTGGGGTTAGTTAATTACTTTTCTACGAATTTGAGTACATAACTCCGCATGATAGTTCAAATATTTTTAAGGTTGAGTCATAAGTAAATTCCGTTTTTGGAAAAAATTTGTTGTGACAAAACTATGTTGGTTGGCTGATTTTATTTAGCAGCATATCAACCTCTGTGGGTTAATTTAATACCGAAATTTAAATATTTTGAATACAATTTATGGATTCAACTAGATATATTTTGAACGCAATTGTATGCCGTCAACTACAGATAAAACGTATTGTTAGTTATTTTGGAAGAAAATGAATTGTTGGTAATCATACTTATTATAAAACCCAGATTGTTTGTGTGTGTGTGTGTGTGTGTGTGTGTGTGTGTGTGTGTGTGTGTGTGTGTGTACGTTTATATATTGGATCGGATTTCCAACATTTTTCAACCGATTTCAAGAAAACTTCACAGGACTACGTAAAATTACCTTGCGGTGGTTCTGACAGCACCAAAAATGGGAAAAACAATTGTTTTTGTACAAAATCAATTTGAAAACACAATTTAGAGGCATCGCGAGAATGAAAGGGGGACAACTCATATCGAGTTATACTTATTATAAAACCCAGGTTGTGTGTGTGTGTGTGCGTTCGTTTATATATGGGATCGGATTTCCTACATTTTTCAACCGATTTCAACAAAACTTCACTTTTTTTGGCAGGTAGTGTTTCTTATTGTCTTGCACACTTTTTTCTTTATTTTTACATTCAGAATGCTTTAAAAATTCCATTTACAAGACAATTGTTTATAATAAAATTCTATTCAATCGGTTGACTCATAACGATTGAAAACAATGTTTTTGTTTGAGTTTGGGTTTGACCAATTCGTAAAAAAAAAACAAAAAAAGCAAAAAAACTAATTATGACATGCCTGTCCATCAACCTTAAACAATAATCTTTGTCAATTTTATTTTTCAGTCTTTATGATGGTCGATACTTGATCTATCTCTTACTGTTACATCCCCGGGCAACGCCGGGTTCTACTGCTAGTTCCATAATAAAATGCATTGTTTCTTAATTTTACTATAATTGTATTGTATTGTTGGTAAGTCTAAAACCACCACCACCACCACCATCATCATCATCATAATTCTTCGGCCTTCCTATAGTTGGTTGGAACTTCATTGAAATCCCTTTCCACACTTTTCGGTCCTGCATTGATGATATCCCCGGATTCCCAATGACCCGAGCTAAGGTGTCTGGGAAAGTCATTTTTTGTGAAGAGACACTTCCAGAAGGATGCCATAGGAGTATGGATGAGACGATTTCCCTGTTCGCTCTGTGGCAGTGGACGGCAAACTGTAATGGTTTTTGTCTGAACTTAAGCGAGATTGGTCTCAGTTCTCCATAAATCGTGTTAAGCATTGCATCGGGTCTCCAAATGATGTTCAGGATTTTTCTAAGTAGATTTCTATCCAGTCATCTTTCAAGACGAGAAGATCATGTCCAAGTTTTTGATCCATACAGTAGAACTGGTTCAATCAATGTTCGAGATGTTTGGAATTTTAAAGAGGATGGAAGGTTGTGAGTGCCAAATCTTGTGAAATTTGTTAAATTTTAATACAAGTGAGTATTGTTGGTAATGTTTTTATATAAAAATATATTTCTTCAGAACCTGGGGTTACATGGCTCTTGACGCATACGAAAAGAATAAATAAGTTTTTTTTTCTCTTTAAATATTTTTATTTTTCCCTTTTAAATTTTCTTTGTAGAATTCAGTCAAAAATCTCAACAGGTTGTATATCTCTCATTTTCAAAGCGTGTTGACTTC